ATCTTCTTTTGGAAGCTAATTCTAGACGCTTGCCCGTCGCTTCGCACCTCTACCTAATTTACACGAGCAGTCCAATAAATCTAAGTAGATATGCAGTGGAGCAATTTTTCAAGGTTTATGAATCAAAATAATAATAAAAAAAATTGTCTTAAACATGAATAATTTATGTCTAATTTATGGATCATGCCTAACATGCCATGCGCAAACTTGATTTTTTATGGATCACTTTTTTTAGTTTAAGGTTCATTGCTGAATGTTTTATGGATCAATTGCAATATGTTTATGAGTAATTCGTACATTTCAAGGCTCATTCTTAAGAAATTTAGCGGTACATTTTTACAATTGTATTGCTAAATTTTACATAAAATATTGATAATATTGATATTTTGTATGGATCATCCACACTTTTTTAGGGATTTTCTCCGATGTTTTATGGATCATTTGGATATTTTTAATAGAACGTTTTTGAATATTTTATGGATCGTTTTATCAATTCTAAAGGTGCATACTTAAGGCTACCATCTTTGAATACGTCGACTGTAACTAGATCTTCAGGAATGTTAACGGTATCATGAGAGGGAAGGTTAATATTGTTCTTATCATTTTTGCTACACTTGGTGAATGCTTTTATGTATCTCAATTAGGTGGACAAGGAAACACAATATTTGTGAGCAAGTAGCACGTAGATGACCTGTTCCTTCGGAAATACTTCGCTTCATCTCTTTAAATGCATTTTCCACTTCACTTCCAAAACATCAACCATAATAGCAGGCCACAACAGCAGCTTGAGATTTTTTTCTTGAGTTCTGTAACACAAGAAGGAGCAACATACAAATTATTCGTACCATCTTCACAAATTGTAACTTTACTGTAAACTTCCTTCAGCACATTATTCCGTCGATATTCTTCCTGAAAATTATTATTCTCACCAATCTCAGTTTCTTCTGAGCAAATGAGCTGGTCATATTATGCGTGTGATTGGAATGGATGAGAATTTTTTTCCTATTTTGGGTTTTTGAGCCATCCTTTTCAAATGGACTAGTTTTAAAAGTAATAATAAATTTGATTATATTTTTGGTAATTTGATAACATTTTCAACTTCGAGGATCCAGCTTTTTGAAATGTTTGTTGCGGTACAAAATAGCAAAAAAAAATGAGCCACGTCGATTCATTTTGGTAGCTCGTTTGACTGTCATGAGACAAATTTGAATATAATCGATCGTGACGAAAATCTTTCAACAACAGCTGCTATTTAGCAAAGCTGGTGAAAATCGATTGTGATTTCCACTGGAATGTGAAAATCTTGAAGCCAAACTCCAAGAGAATAAAAAATTGGGAATGTAGTGTGACTGGATGATATGAAATGTTCACTTTTCATCTCATTAACGCACATTACATTTTTTCAATGGAGCTCGCACAATGGACCACGTGGCGTCAACAAAAATAATTACTTGGTGCTTTACGCTCAAAATATCAAATAACTATTTTTGTATGGGCAACCACAAAATTACTACATACATCCTTGTGAAGGTATTCGCGCTTGATTGTCTCATGTCTCATCTGAGTTATCTTCAGAGTTGGAAGCATAATACATTGATATTGTTATTACGAACATCGAGGGATGATTGAAGCTTGGCCTGTTAGGATAAATAAAGCCATTCTTTCATTCCCCCTATAACGAAAGTTAATACAATTTGTTGAGTGGCTTCCATTCCACGAACCTTGACATATGCCCTACAATCGTAAAAAGCTCGTCATCAACAATATTATTATGAAGAGCTTTGAGTGGGTTGGTTTATTTCCTTTAAATTCCATTATAATTGCTTATCTTTTTTGACAGATACGCGTTTTTCGTCTACTACTTGCAGACTTCATTAGTGCCAAGTACTCAACACCACTGTAGAATCCATCTTTTATCTACGAGCTATATACTAATCAATAGGTACTAAAAATCAACAGGTATCCACTGCCATGTCACAATTTACCTAACTAGGTACCTATGTTCAGTCTTCAACAGGTAGAGGCATGCTACGATGTGTGGTTTTAGGTAGCATGCTAAAGAGTCTCGAGTATCCGTTTCCTTGATCTCTATTAAGCAATGCTGTGTCGGTGAATGAGCGTGTCGGTGATCATCTCTTTTTGCCAGTGGTGGCAGGGGGGGGGGGGGAATACCCCTCACCACCCCTCTTCAACGGGGGAGTTTGGTAAAGAGAGATGATAAAACCGATTTGTACTTTCCTAAAGTTGGCCTAGCCCACTTTCTAGTCTCTATATGCAATTTTAACACTGCCGTACTCTAACGGAACAATCAATTCTATACTTGTCTCCTCATAAAAATATTATGTATACTAAATTATCACTTTAGTCTGTTATTTGAAATTAGCGTCTTCAACTAAGAGAAATAAACGTTTAAAAAAATATTTTAAGAGAGTCGATTTTCTAGGGGCCACCCTAATCCGCTCGTTTTTAATAATCATAACTCATGAACCATAAGAGATATAAATTTGATGTTTTCAGCAAAGTTGCTTGAAACAGACTGTTCACAAATTTTTAAAACATTGGTCTATCCCAAACAATAAAAACAAAGTTTGTTTAAACAATTTTATGGACCACCTTAATTTCACTTACATAAAAATATTGGCCAAAAAATACGAAGAAACACCATATACCTAAAAGTGATGGTTTGGGCGCTAATGTTTTTGTCTTCCTAAATATGGCTTTGCAACCATTGGACACATCCCAACAAACAATTTTAGCTGCAGACTAGCTTATACAGGCAAATATTAGCTGTATAAGCCAATTTTTGGCTGTGTAAGCTAATCTGCAGCTAAAATTGTTAGTTGGGATGTCTCCAGGGTCAATTTTCTGGCCATAATTCCAAATTGATTCTGATAAGATATCAAAGATTGCTTTCGAAAAAAGCGGACCTTTAAGCTCAGTTTCAAGAACTAAACAATTTTATGGATGTTCCGGATATTCCGGTGGGCCATCCCGTGGTCGTCTGGGTCTATATTCAGGTCACAACTTTGAATTACTTCTGATAAGACGTCTATGAGTGGTTTTGAAAAAAAAACGTAGAGTTCTAGGATCAGTTTCATAAATTGACAACTTTTACGGTTGTTCCGGATCTAACAGTAAACCATCCCGTTGTCCTAAGGTTTCATATTCCGGTTACAACTTCTTCATTCTGATAAGACATTTAGGATTTAGGATTAGTTTCATGCATTGATCAGTTTTACGGATGTTCCGGATCTTCTAGTGGACCATTCCATAGTTTCCAGTGTCCATATTCCAGTCACAAGCCCGAATCTACTCTGATAAGGTATTTACAAGTGGTTACAAAAAATCGAGAAGCTCCAGGATCAGTTTGATTAAATGATAACTTTTACGGATGTTCTGGATCTACCGGTAAACCATCCCGTGGTCCTAAGGTTTCATATTCCGGTTACAACTCCAAATTCATTCTGATAAGGCGTCCATGAGTGGTTTCAACAAATCCGCGGAGTAATAGGATCAGTTTCATGAATTTACCACTTTTACGAATGCTCGAAATCTTTTGAGTGATGAATAAGTGGTCCCCAGCGTCCTTATTCCGATCACAACTCCGAATTATTTCTGATTAAACGTTTCCCAAGTAACAATTTTGGTTTTATGAGGGTTCTGTAGACCATGATTTAGACTTGTAGAATGCTATAAAACCTCTATGAAGCTTACAATGTTACTTGGGTTATGAGTGGTTTTGAAAAACCCACGAAGCTCTAGGATCAGTTTCATGAGTTGACCACTTTTACGGATGTTCCGGATCTTCCAGTGGACCATCCTGTAGTCTCCAGAGTCCAAATTGCGGTCACAACTCCGAATTAATTGTAGTATGACGGCTATAAGTGATTTTGAAAAAAAAACACGGAGCTCTAGGATCAGTTTCATGAAATGAACACTTTTACGTATGCTTCGGATCTTCTGGTGGACCATCCCGTAGTCCCTATTGTCCAAATTCCGGTCATAACTCCGTATTCATTCTGATAAGACGTCTGTTAGGACAGAAACTGGATTTCGGACTGGTACAGCACGACTCGTTTTTATGCAATGGGCATGAGTCAGCTTTTTAGCTGCAATATATTTAATTAGGATTATAAGGGTTTGTTAAATGTTTGTGTTTATGTGTTCACTTACATTTCTAGTCCTTATTAGTGTGTTTGTTCTCTGTCCAACAATTTTAAACTAGAATAATTATAAATTTTAAGAAAAAACTTGTTCTGCGTCTTGCTTGTTCTTTGTTCTAGCTTTTTAATGGTGAATTTACTTGTCGTGTGTAGGTATTTAGGAACTATTCAAGTCGTTGACAATTCAATGCGTATATATTGGTGTTCTTAGGTATAGTTCATCCTGCTGCGTGTAGACCGGGTAACCCTGTCGCACCGGGGTGCTGGTTTCTCATCGTTCGGAACATTCCCCGACCCGTATTGCTCGATGTTTACTTCAGCAGTACCACCCACTTCCAGAACTGCCAACTTTGCCACTGAACGAACCAGCACTCCTGCACTGGCTGTCAATACCTCTGCATTCCGTACCCGGCCGTCACGTCCCGGAAAAACACGTAGCACTCGTCCTCTCAGCCAACCATTCCGGATCCGGTCTTCCACCACAACTACCAGATCACCAACTTGAATGGGTCTTTCATCCACGAACCACTTCGTACGCTTAGTGATCGTAGATACTCCTTGATCCATCGACCCCAGAACCTGTCCAGTAGTTGTTTGCACAAGTCCCAGTTACAGCGTGCCACTGACCTCTCGTGGATCGGCTCCCTAGCTGGCTGATTAACTCCGCTAGTGCTCAGCATTAGGAAGCAGTTCGGGGTAAGTGCTTCTTGTTCCTCGGAATCGATTGGCAGGTATGTGAGAGGCCGTGAGTTGACAAGAGATTCAGCCTCGGTCAGGAACGTACGAAGGGTTTCATCGTCCGGCTTGCCTCCGGTAGTCAAAGATGCCAGCGCACTTTCAACCGACCGAACCATGCGTTCCCATGACCCCCCCCATGTGTGGCGTGGAGGGTGGATTGAAACGCCACTGTGTATCTGTGTTGGTGAACGTACCCGCAAGGTTGCTGTTGATGTGCTGAAGTTCCCTCTTCAGGTCGCGGCTAGCGCCCACGAAGTTTGTTCCCCGATCACTGAATATCTCCCGTGGGGCCCCCCTCCGTGCGATGAACCGCCTAATCGCCATCTTGCAGGATTCCGTCGTTAGGTTGTGCACCACCTCCAGATGCACTGAACGTATGGTCAAGCAGGTGAATAGTGCAACCCAACGCTTAACCTCGCTGCGTCCCTGCTTAACCAGCATTGGCCCGAAGTAGTCCACGCCGACATAGGTGAATGGCCGAACGTGCGACACCGTCCTAGCTTGAGGCAGGGGAGCCATTCGTGGAATCTCCGGAGTCGTCTTGTAGATGTTGCACCACTGGCATTGCTTTCTGGCTAGCTTGAAGGCAACCCTCATCTCCGATACGTGAAACCCATTGCAGTGTTTGTACTGCCGATGGTACCAATCGACGAGGAGTTTAGTTCCGCCGTGTCTTTTGGGCAGAATCACGGGAAACTTGAAGTCAAACGATACCTGCTGAGCATTTGCAATTCTGCCATCCATCCGCATGACATCTTGTTCGTCCAGGAAGGGAGAAAGTTTGGAGATTTTGCTAGTTTTCTCGATCTTCATTTGTTCTCCAGCGGGAAGTCCTCGATTTCTCTTGAGGATAACGAGCTCATCTCCAAAGGTCTCTAGCTGAATCAGTATGAAAATGGTTGACTCCGCCTTGAGTATTTCGTCCCGATTCAGGAACTCTGTTTTACCTGGTGCTAGCTTCTTGATTCTGCAGCGAAGGATGTCAACGAACCTGCGTGCGTAGGCTACCGCCCGGACCAGGCGCTCCCATTTCGAGAACCTTTCAAACTTCAGCAGCTGATTTTCGACGACATTCTGATGGAGGTGTACCGGACGAAGTTCTTCCACTGTCTCTACCTCCTTCGTTGTTTGCAGAGGCCACAGATCCGGGTGTTGATAGAGGAACGATGGCGCATGGAACCAGCGACTGTATGAGGCGATATTTGGACCTTTACCCCACTTTGAATCCTCGTCGGCAACGTTCAACCGGGTTGGCACCCAACGCCACTCGTCGACCTGCGTTAAATCGTGGATTTCCGTCAGCCTGAAAGCAACGAATTGTCGATACTTTCTAGGATCAGATTGCAACCAGGAAAGAAAGGTGCGAGAATCACTCCAGAACACTTTTCGGTTGATTGGAATTGTATGGTTCTCAATTACGGACTTCGACAACCTTGCACCAAGAACGGCTGCTGACAGTTCTAGTCTCGGAATAGACAGGAGTTTCAAAGGCGCAACCTTCGTTTTCGCCGACACTAGGGAGCAACGAACTCTGGATCCTTCGACGATTCGAAAATACGCAACAGCCACAAATGCTTCTTCAGACGCGTCAACAAAAATATGCAGCTCCATGGAACGGTAATCTTCAGGAGTGTAGCCAGGAAAGTAGCAGCGGGGAATTTCGACGTGATCCAACTGCTTCAACAACTTGATCCATCTCTTCCATTGTTCAAGCAGTGCGTCAGGTATACGCTCATCCCAGCTAAGTTCTGACCGCCAGATGTGTTGCACGAGCACCTTTCCATGGACGACGAAGACAGCTACTAGCCCAATGGGATCGAAGACCCGCAAAACTTCTCTTTTCGTCGGAATCGTGTCATCCAGTAAAAGAGCTTGTATATCATCCCTAAACACCCCTTGAAAGACGGTACGGTTCGGTCCGGTTCTGGCTTCCAGATCATGCCAAGAACGCGTTCGTAAGCAGCCGACCTGTCGACGAGAAGTTTTTTCTGCGACTCCGCTTGTTGTTCCCCGACCCGTATTAGAACCTCACATGAGTTTGACAGCCAATTTCTAATGTTGAAACCTGCCTTGGAGTGTACCTGCTCTGCCAGCTCAACAGCTTCCTGCTCTGTGTGTACGCTACACAGGAAATCATCCACATAATGATGATTCGTGATCGCTTCCGCCGCTCGTGGAAACTGTTCGGAAAATTCCACAGCATTCCGTTTTTTAATAAACTGTGCTGCAGAAGGCGAACATGTGGAGCCGAACGTGGCTACGTCCATCACGAACACATCGAATGGCTTAGATGGATCGTCTCGCCACAAGAACAACTGAGCAGATCGGTCTTCTGGTCTGATGAGAAACTGGTTAAACATCTCGCAGATATCTGCGCTGACGGCCACCTCGAACTGGCGAAATGAACTCAAAACTGCTGTGAGTGGTATGAGAAAATCTGGGCCAGCGAGAAGAGCAGAATCCAACGATTGTCCCTGGACTTTAGCTGCCGCATCCCATACTAATCGTACTTTGTTTGGCTTTCTCGGATTCGTAACGACGTTCAACGGCAGGAACCAGGTCCGTTTGGGATCGAAACTGGCTAACTCCTTTTTGCTCACCTTATGAATGTACCCTTTGGCTTGGTACTCGATGATCTGGGTCTTCACATTTTGATATAATTCGGGCTTCGATGCTAGACGACGTTCAAGACAACGGAATCTCTTTTCCGCCATGGGTCTGCTGTTCGGGAACTCTACGTTATCGTTTTTCCACAGCAAACCTGTTTGGAACCTTCCTGAAGATGTCCTTACAGTTGTGCTGTCGAGAATTTTCCTGGCACGTCGATCGTCGTCACTCTCCATCGTTGAAGACACAGCTCCCACACTTTCCAACGCAAACAAATTCTTCACTAGATCATGGAGCTCTTGATCGGATGAACGAACGGAAATATGGAAGAGCTGATGAATTGATCGTTCATCTCCAGTGGATGTGCTCCCGTAGACCACCCAACCTAGCCTGGTTTTTGCAGCCATTGGGCTTCCTCTGACTTCTTCTCTGCTTTTCCGTGTTGCCATCACGAACGAGTTATCCAAACCAATCAAAATTGTAGGGACAGCATCGGCGTAGCTTTGTACTGGTAGCCCTTGAAGATGCGGAAACTCATTGCAAAGTTTACTGAAGTCCAAAGATTGAACAGGAAGGAACACAAGAATCGCTCCTGAACGAATTTCCAGCGATCACCGAGAGTCATCTTGCGGAACGCATGACAATCCTTTATTTTGTGGCCGTCTTTCTGGCAGGCTGCACACGGCTTAGGCTTGTTCCACCTACGTTCGGTAGTAGGGACATTCTCTACTTTGTTCTCCTCTGCAGCATGCGTGTTCACGTACATCTTCTCCTTCGTCTTTGGTTTCTCCTGCTTGCTACGATGCTCCTCCGCTTCGTTCTGGAAATTCACCTCACTAGCGGCCGTCACGATCTGGTCCATGTAGCTCCCAAATGTGATGAGGTTGACGTTGGTATGTTGACGTTTGGAGAGAGACCAGTTCAGTTTGAGTGTGGCTGGAAGCTTGCTCACCAACTCCTGAAGCAGTAAGGGATTCGAAAGATGATCGTTAAGATCTGCAGCTTGCAGGTGGCTACAAAGGTTTTTGCATGCCAAACCGAAATTGATCAGGCTACCCAGATTTTCCGGCTTAGGGTTTTGCGTAGCCCACACCTTGGTGAGCAACGAGTTGATGATTTGCTCTGGACGGCCATACAGTGTTTTCAAAGTGTCGATGATCAACGGTATAGACGACGGATGCATCAGATGACTTCGAACCGCTTCCAACGCGTTTCCCTTAAGACATCGCTGCAGTCGCATGAGGTTTTCGCCATCAGAATAACCACACATGTCGGTCGAATTTTGAAGACAGCAACGGCCACTCGACAGGGTCTCCGGAGAAAACAGGCAGCTCTCTGGGCACGACGTGTCTGGCGGCGAGTTGTTGTGAGTTGGGTCCGCCAAATAGCTGCCGGGGTGCAATATCGATGGCAGCTGAGGTGGAGGCAGACGTAGGGATAATCGGCGACATGATTGGAGACACATGGGATGACACTGTATGCACGGAGGGGGGAGTAGAGTGAGCTTGGGGAGGGCCGAGGGGGACGACTCTATCTACGATGCAGAAAAGATTGTGTTTTGCTGTGGCTAGCTGCGCGCACGCTGAGTAGACAGAAAAAAGATTGATGACGATTCTGAAGATTTCCTGCAAAAAGATGATGCACGATGCAAGTAGATGCGCCAAATGAAAGAAGATTTTTCGAAGATTGATTCGCTAGTGTGAGATTTGTTGAGCATCTAAACTTGAGATTTAGATGTGTCGCCCCCCTCGGGGAGGGCTCATAAACACCGGAGCGAATGGCGGTAGTAGGGGGAGTAAACATGGTCCGGTGGCCGGAGGGGGTGTTTTATTTATTTGTTCAACTGCCCGTCCGGATGCTGACGAATCAACCGAGCACATAATATTAAGGCCAATCGTAGTAATAGGAATGGAGCACGTTTGACTTACCAGAGCTGGTATTACCCTCGCTGGTCGGAAATTCATAGGCAACGTTGCGTTCTAGCTGCGGCCTATTAGTCGATGTCGTAGCGGATTCAACGACACCACCCATCGTCGATGACACTGTCTTCTGGCGTTGCTGAACTCTATTCGGGTTTCTATCCGCATTCTGGTGTGGGCTTGTTGTCTTAGCTGCCAACTGCTTCTGAAGACTGTCCATATGCTTCTGAAGATTGCTTATCTGCTCCATCAAGGCTTCCGGGGTGCGTGTCGGCGAGATCAAACAATTCACCGTAGCCGGCAACACACGATAATCCGTCGAAATTGTTGGGAAACCACCTGCTGCTTCACCATAGTCGGTCGTGTTGTTTTGCGCTAGCAGTTCTTTTAGCCGATAACGCGTTAGAACAAACGATGAGATATCGGTATTATGTACGTCCGGCGCAACTGGATCCGTTGGATTTGCGATGATCGACAAAGACTGCATGTCCAGCGTACTCGACTCATTCCTGACTGTAACACTGCTAGTCACTGGAACTATTAGAACTTCCTTGGGAATGGTACCGGTCTGGGACTGAGTACCCGCGGGGATCGTTTTTGGTCCGGCGGTGCTGCTCGTGGTCAGGACTAACTGGCTCTGTACCCAATCGTGAGTTCTCTGCAAACTGCCACGGGATGATCGTCGTGTTCTACCGCTGCTACCGCTGCTTTGCTTATCATCAAGCTGGGCTTGCAGGATCTCGTACTTTTTGGCGATGAATGCTTTTTCCAGACGCTTCTCCTCTTCGAGCCGCGGAAGATCGAGAGAGGCACGTACAGCTCGCGAACATGCCTTTGATGATCGGCTTTTTCTGGAACCTGTTGGTTCGAAACGAACGGTGAAGCCACCGACATTATCACTCTCACTTTCCTGAGAAGCCACTAAATTGAGGTTAGCGTTGCCTTCTTCCAGACACCCGCTTGGAGACGTTTCCTCTGATGTGACACCGGGAGCCTTCCCGGAGTGCGGCATTTCCAGTTAGAAATCTAAAAAGTTTGTTAGGACAGAAACTGGATTTCGGACTGGTACAGCACGACTCGTTTTTATGCAATGGGCATGAGTCAGCTTTTTAGCTGCAATATATTTAATTAGGATTATAAGGGTTTGTTAAATGTTTGTGTTTATGTGTTCACTTACATTTCTAGTCCTTATTAGTGTGTTTGTTCTCTGTCCAACAATTTTAAACTAGAATAATTATAAATTTTAAGAAAAAACTTGTTCTGCGTCTTGCTTGTTCTTTGTTCTAGCTTTTTAATGGTGAATTTACTTGTCGTGTGTAGGTATTTAGGAGCTATTCAATTCGTTGACAATTCAATGCGTATATATTGGTGTTCTTAGGTATAGTTCATCCTGCTGCGTGTAGACCGGGTAACCCTGTCGCACCGGGGTGCTGGTTTCTCGTCGTTCGGAACAACGTCTATGAGAGATTTCGAGAAAAAACACGGAGCTCTAGGATCAGTTTCATGAATTGACCACTTTTACGGATGTTCCGGTTATTCTAGTGGACCATCCTGTAGTCCCCAGAATTCAAATTGCGGTCATAACTCCGAATTAATTGTAGTAAGACGTCTATAAGTGGTTTCGAAAAAATCTCGGAGCAGTTTCATGAATTGAACACTTTTAAGGATGTTCCGGATCTTCTGGTGAAGCATTTCGTGGTACCCAGAATTCATATTCCAGTCACAATTTCGAATTCATTCTGACAAGACGTCTAAGAGTGGTTTCGAAAAAAAAACCACTGAACTACAGGATCATTTTCATGAATTGACCACTTTTACGGATGTTCCGGATCTTCTAGTAGACCATCCCGTAGTCTTAAGCGTCTGGTAAAACGTCTATGAGTGGTTTCGAAAAATTCGCGGTGCTTTAAGATCTTCATGAATTGACCACCTTTGCGGATGTTCCGGATCTTCTGGTGGACCATCCTGTAGTTAGTTGTAATAAGACGTCTATTAGCGGTTTCGAAGAAAAAAACACGGAGCTTTAGAATCGGATTCATGAATTGACCACTTTTACGGTTCATTTTCCGGTCACAGCTCCAAATTAATTCTAACATGATAAGACGTCTATGAGTGGCTTAGAAAAAAAAAACCGGATCTTCTAGTGGACCATCCTGTAATCTCCAAGGTCCATATTCCAGTCAAAACGCCGTTGAGTGGTTTCAAAAAATTTGCGGAGCTCTAGGATCAGTTTCATGAATTGACCACTTTTACGGATGTTCCTGATCTATAAGTAGACCATCCCGTGGTCCCCAGCGTCCACTGTCTGGTCAAAACTCCGAATTAATTGTAATAAGACGTCTATGAGCAGTTTCGAAAAAATCACGGAGCTCTAGGATCAGTTTCATGAATTGACCACTTTTACTGATTGTCCCAAAAGGAGGTCATCTACCTTGTTAATAACTTTTCAGAAGACACCAGGAAGTCATCTTTTCAAATTACCCTACAATAAGTGTTTGTCCCCAAATAGCTCTAATCCCATAGGCTACGTGTATTCGTTAATGTCGGTTCCTATAGTGCGGTACCTATTAACCGTACTATAGGAATCTTCACTGTATTTAAAGAATCAAATAAATTGGTTACCTACATTCAGGGGTAAACAGAATGCTTAGCTTGATGTAGGTATCCAAGGGTATTTCGATATATGTGTTTTAAAGTCACGTTTTAGGTTGTAAAGTAGCGTACAATACACTTAAGTAATAAGTTTTCTGGGTCAAATCGGGCTTAAATCTTTAGGAAGTATTCTAATGTTTAAAATGCCATATAAATCAATCAACTTTGCAATGACAACACTTACGTATACCATCCAATACCAATTGAAATTAAGCCAACTGTCACAGCTGCACTGATTCCTCCAATCAAAGCCACAATGTACATTGTTATTGCTCCGCCCATTTCCACTGGTCTCTGAATAACTCCACTCACACTCACATCATACCTTTGCTCTTTATTCCCTAGTTTATAGTCCAATGATTGCTGGTTGACGTTAATCGGGAGCTTTGGTTTTATATCCTGTGGAGAAGGTGGAAGATTTTTGATGGGATTGGAATGCAGCAGTTCTTGCTCAGGAGTATTTTCATCTTCAAAATTGGTTTTGCTATAAGCACTATCAACGCTTGGGTTGTAGAAACGTGGATCACTTGGATCTACTGCAAACTCTATTGGATCGTTTTGATTCTGATGTCTGTTAAGTGGTGATGTGTGATACGTAAATGCAGGTCCAGCTACTTCAGCTCTTTGTAAAATATTTCTATTCAACTGCAGTCTTTGCCAATGCTCTAAAAACCGCTGGCGTGCTCGTTCTTCAATCAATTCGTTAATAGTTTTCAATAACTCCGGTGTTTCTCGAGCATCTGAAATGTGACAATAATAAAAGTGTAAAGAAACATAATTTATACAAACAGCCTTCAGAATGTAAGTGTGTGTTAAACACTTTGATCATTGCCAGTCGAACAACAAATACGGTTATTTAGTATATAGATGATGTAAATTAGTTGGAGGACATGTTTCTTAAGACCAAAAAATGAAAATGTTTATTGGGAGTAAGTAAGAGTCATACATCAAGAATGAATAAATATGTTCCAAGAACTCCAATCAAAATTAACTGACTAACGTGGCGGCCACGGCGATATGCACCTTGGTTCAGAAGGTGTCGCCGCGAATCCTGCTAGCGACTGCGGTGGTCATCGTTGAGGATGACATTGGTAAAAGGTTTAACGCTAGGCTCGGTTCGGGCTCTGAAAGTAAGTTTGTATCGGAACGATTAAGCCAGCGAATAAAATTATCAAGGTGAAGTTTCGGTATTCGGCATGGGCAGGCAACCAGAAAGGTCAATCATCAAGTTTAAATGGTGGTACGCTCACGAGTCTCGGAATATTAACGGGAATGACCTTTCTAGTATTACCCAAGGTTAGCGTGAATTAACCCACAACCCCAATCAACATGAAAGGATGGGATTTACCAGAGGAGTGGATCTGGCTTTCTTTCAATCCTAGGAAGTCGACATCATCCTAGGCATCGATTTTTTTTTCGAGTTCTTCGAGACCGGACGAAGAATTTCTATCGATAATCATCTTCTAAGCCATACGGATTAGGTATACGGATGGGTAGTTTGTGGTGGCTGCTCAACATCAAACAAATCCGCACAAATCAGTGGTCACGCGAAGAAGTAGAATTCCCTAATTCTTTATCGCCAAAAGAAAAACTCTGCGAGGAACTGTTCAAACGTGGAGTAAAACGAGGTTCAGAAGGTCGGCACACTGTTTTTCTTCGCATTTTAATCTTAATGCTCATCGCATATTAGCTTATTGCGTGCTCCCAACTCAGTGTTCTAGATGCACTTCTACAGTTATTAATTGAGAGCTTTCAGTGGCCGTACCATTTTTGCATTAGTATAATTGTGTGGTACATATATACTCTATGCCCAGGGAAGTCGAGAAATTTTCCAAGCCGAAACATTCCTCGTCCGGACCGGGAATCGAACCCAGCCACTTCCAGCATGGTCTTGCTTTGTAGGTGCGCCTTTACCGACTGAGCTAAGGGAGGCCCCAACTGTTCCTTTACCCAAAAATGAAGAGGCTCTTCCAACTCTTTGGAGAGTTAGCGGCGCCGGTGGTGTAGTGGTAAGCATGATTGCCTCTCAGCGCAGCAGGCCTGAGTTCAGCCCCAGTCGGCGCTGCCGGGATGTTCTGAATCATAACATCTCTGATCACGCCTTCCATCGGAAGGGAAGCAAAGCCGTTGGTCCCCGGTTCATAAGTTTATGGATCGATAGGTAGGGTCCAGGTGTGGGAGCTGCCGTCAGTTGCATTGGTACTCAGCACGGAAAAACAAGATCGACGGAAAACTAACCAAAGGAAAAAAAATGTTGGGGGTGTCACGGGATATCGCATTCCGATGTCTTCTTGGAACAGAAATATGGTTGACAAGGGATTCCAATTTACGAGAACAGTATATCGCATTTATGGCTGAATACCTGGGGATATGCGAAGGGTCAAAGACGTCAGAAAGGAGTCGATCAAATGGTGTTATCTATCCCATTATACCATACCATATTGGTGGTCAAGGAGGCGAGTACCACCACCAAGGTCAGAGTTGTCTTCGACGTTTCATGCATGTCCATAAACGATGTTCTTCTGGTGGGCCAGTTGTGCAGGAGGATATGAAGGAAATCATCCTACGGAGCCGAACAAAGCAGATTCTTCTCGTATCGGATGCTGAGAAAATGTTACGGCAAATCCTTACTACGTAGGTGATCCACCACTGCAGTCGATATTCTTCTGGTTTTCACTTGATGAGGATATTACGGTATACGAGCTGGAAACCGTAATGTATGGAACCAAACCTGCTCCCTATCTGACAACTCGTATGCTTCAGCAGTTGGCAGCTGGTAACGAAATTCGTTTTCCGCTTGCATCACGAGCAATTCGTGAGGACGTCTACACGGACGACGTAATCACTGGTGCGGACGAGTTAAATACAGTTCCTAGATAACGGAGATGATGGAATGCGGTGGATTCAAGCTCAGGAAATGGTAATGCAATATTCCCGCAGTTTTGGAAGGCGTGCCTATGCAGAATATGGCTATTCGCGAGGGGGGCGACTCTATCTAAGATGCAGGAATTTTTTTGCTTTGCTGTTGTATGATGCGTGCGTGCTTGATAGATAGAGAGAAGATTGATGAGGATTTTAAAGATTTCCTGCAAAAATGTGGAGAGCGATGTGAGTAGATGAATTTAGGTGCAAGAGATGAAAAAAGATTTTTTTGTAGATTGATTCGCTAGCGTGAGATTTTTCGACCATCTAAAATTGGGGCTATTCGTGACAGTAACGAAATGAACTTGAATCCCGATTAATCTGCCAAAACTTTGGACCTGACATGGATGCTCACTACCGATACTTTGATTTTACAGTTTGAAGTTCCTCAGTTAGATCCTGATGGTCCACTATCAATACGACATATCTGTTCATTGCTGCGTTATTCGATCCTCTTTGCTTGATCAGTGCCACGACAGCATCTTCCAATATTTTTATGCAGCATCTGTGGACGTTAGAAGACAGGAACGGGAACCGCTTGGAATGAGATGAACTAATACCTCGAACGGTGAGTGAGAGTTGGTAAAAATTTCACGGGAAACTTCCAATTCTCAACGAAATTCGCATCGACCGTAGTTTTATTACTCCCAATGCGGGACAGGACGGTGAAGGTCCGACTTTTGTCATCCCTATCAAATGTATTTCCACTCCGAAGTCATCCCAAGGCTAGAACTATGCAGTGACTTACTCTTGTTCCAGCTGTACGACAACGTCAAGACCTCGACAGAGTTATCAGTTTCAGCTTGCTTTTGGACGTATCCAACGTGTGTATTGTGTTGGATTGATTCTGCTCTCGTAACATGGTCCACCTTCGTTGCCAACAGGGTGGCGAAAATCCAAGGCTTCATCGATGAATAGAAATGGAGGCACGTACCAGGAAAGAACAATCCAGCAGATCTTATATCCCGTGAAGTTTCTCCCGAAAACATTGTCCACAACGAGTTCTGGTGGGAAGGTTCAAATTCGTTAAAGACAGCAGAGGAAGGGAAGCGTCGCACAGCAGTCACTTGTACAGTATCACCTATTGCAACGTATTCGGACCTGATTCGACGAACAGCGTACTGGCTGCGTTTAATAGAACTTCTGTGAGCCCCAAGAAAGGTGCATTCAAAGAATTGATTTCTAACCACTACGGAGTTGAGAACTACTGAGTACACGGATAGAAATATCCTTATACCTTTTGGCAAATTTCCATTGCTGATTATTCATAAAATGTATAAGTCAACTAATAAGCAGACGCCTTGCAAAAAGTTAATAAAGATCATGTGCCAAATGAAATGTATAAGCGGTCACACATACCTATGTGGTTTGTCTTATGGAATGAATAAGGCTGATGCTTTGGCAAAAATGTATAAGTGAAACACATGAATTAAATAATTGATTTTCGTTTCGTGTATGCTATTGTTCGCAGCGTGCAGAAGTCTTTCCCAAATAATATATGGCGTTAACAAAAGGAGAATCAGTATAAAGAAAGTCACCGTTGAGGTGCTTTCACCTGTACGTTTGCAAGAAAGGGTTAATAAGAGTAGGGGGGACGGCTGAAGAACTCAAATGGACTGAAAAGCACCAAACATCCATCCACGCCACCAGTTAACCCATATCATAGTGAAACATTTTCATGAGCGGTAATAACACGCCGGGCCCCAACTATTATTGGGAGCGATTCTGCCGCAATTCTGGCCTCTTTGTGGGAGGAATGGTGTCAGAGAGGTCAATGCCTTAGATGCTATCGTACCAAACCTACTACAGTGCAACAATTCATGGGATAGTTGGCATCATCTCGTGTAACAGTAACCCGACCGTTCACAAAAATAGGTGTAGACTGCTTTGGCCCCGTCTACATCCGACCAGCTCCTAGGCGCGCAGCTGCGAAGGCTTACGTAGCAGTGTTTATCTTTCTCTGTGCCAAAGCAGTAAACTTGAAGCTCGTTTCCAACCATTCAACAGAGCGGTTCATGCAAGGCTTGTGACGATTTGTGTCGCGACGAGAAAAATGCTCCGATATCTTTTCGGATAATCACTCAAAATTTGTAGGCGCTAGGAACCAATCGACAGAACTTTTCCGATCATTGAAGGATCGAGAACACCACGAATGAATCACCACCGAGGTCGTCAAGGACGGTATTCAATGGAATACCATTCCCCTGAGTACTCCACACTTTGGAGGGCTCTGGGAGGCAGCTGTCCGGTCGGCCAACAATTTCAAAAAGCAACCTATTTTCAAAAAGTAGACTAAAGTGGTAATTTCTATACGATAGATGAGAAGGTGAGAGAATAGAGTTGATAGTTCCGTTAGAAAACGGCAGTGTGGAAATTGTGTATAGAGAGTAGAAAGCGAGCAAGGACAACTTTGAGGAAGGTACGAATCGGGTTGATCATCTTTCTTTACCAAACTCCCCAGTTGGAGAGGAATGGTGAGCTGAAGATCGTCGTCTATTATAATTGGTAAAGTGTTGTTAATAAATAAATAATAATGATAATTATAATTGAATCAAATTTAACCTCGCATGTTGGTACTGAGGCAGCTCTTGCTTCGACTATAGAAGTAGTCAGAGATTCAAGAGCATAATTAACATCATTTTTGGTTTGCAAAGGAATGTTTGGATTGAAGCTATATTCCATAGATGTTCGATGTTGCTCCCAATCAGCTCTATAGTAATTGAAAGTAGAGCTATTGGGATTATAAATTAGTTCTTGGGGTATTTCAAAAGTTACTGGAAGGTGATCATAACCCAAGTCAGCATGGGTATCCAATTGGCTAAAAATTTGACATGAATCAGTTAAGACCAAATCAATAGTGGAGGGATTTCTTGCTGAAGAAAAGCATGTTGGGCAGTTTGGATATTGAATAGTGTAATAACCCCCAGAACAATCATCAAACAGAATATTGCCATTGAAATTGTTTTGAGCATTATTCCATGAGCGGTATTTTGCATTAAAATCACCAATAATGAAGAATTCAGACCTATGACGGGATAGTTTCTGAAGGTAACCCTTGAGAAAAATTCTTTTGCTGGCTTACGCATTGAAATGGCAAATAGGCTGGTTAGTTGCCCAAATTTTTAACAGAATTTCCCAAAATTTCAAAAACTTTGGATTCAAATGAAGAAAGAATGTAATGTTTGAATCATCTGTGAACAATGATGGCAGCGCCACCACAGGCTTCATTAAGACGATCATTTCTATTAATGGAATAATTTGCTTCCTTTTTAACCTTATGGTCAGGTTTAAGGAACGTTTCAGTTATAACGGCAATATGCACGTTATGAACTCTCAAAAAGTTAAATAGCTCGTCTTCATTATCTTTAAGATATCAAGCATTCCAATTTAAAAATTTTAATTACTCAATTTTAAAGTCATGACGATATTGTTCGCAAATTTTACTCCAGTTTGAATAGCATCAAACATGGAGTTAGATTTAAATATATCAGCAATCATGTCAATCAATGATTTCTGTAAAAAAAAATCATTTAAGGAGCAGTAATGCTTCCGAAGTCAAAATTTGCAACATTTCAGTTAGAATTACGTTGGCTAGCATTTTGATTTTTACCCGTTGCAATAGCACCATAGGTAGCTCCATTTACTCGCTGAACATTGTTAGCAGCGAGGGGAGTAGGTATAGATGAAGAATTTGAAGCAGGGGTAATATTTGTATTGTAGAATTTGTTCCTCGCTGACCGTTGTTAACAGCAGAAGAATTTGTACCTGTTGGAAACGTGGAGCGTTTTCTACCTGCGCTTAGAACGAGGTTGTAGGATAGCTTTGCGAGTCTTACTTTCCCAAAAATTGGATTTGTGGTTTTCACCACAATTTGAACATTTAAATTTCTTATTATCTTCCTTCACAGGACAGTCGTCCTTTGCGTGAGAGGAATCACCACAATTCATGCATTTAGCTGGAATGTCGTAATTTTTGGTTCCGTGAACCCATCCCTGGCACTTACGGCACTGGGTGAGGTTTTGGAAATTTCCTCCAGTTTTCCCTAAGTGTTCCCACTTCACTCGGACAAGGAGCATAAGGCTAGCTTTTTCTAAGGGCTTAAGCTTGTTTAGTTCACTAGACTTGAAGTGAACGAAATAAAAAATCATTAGAAATCTTGTTGCGCGAATCGCCTGGACGGGATTTCATTTTCATTTTGATTACTCGGATTGGCACAACTCCAAGTAATTTGGCCAGTTCATCTTTGATCGGATCCAGAGATTCACCACTGGGCAAATCTTTCATGACAACCTTGAACACACGTTCAGTTTTGGTGTCGTAAGTAAAAGAAAATATGCTGCTTCTCAGTAAGATACTTGAGGAGACATTTGAATCCGTCCAAGGTTTCAGCCAATACACGGCATTCACCTCGTCGGCCAATTTGCAGTGAAAACTTAAATTTCACGAAGTTCAAAAGTTCCATGCGAAGCGCATGGAAATAGGAAGTGGTTATCACAAAGTTTACTAGAATTTTTCCTGGATGATGGATCATTCTCATCATCCGTGAGCAAATCAAATTAATTTCATCGGAAGGGAGATCAATAGATTGCCCTTTTCTTTTGCGCTTAGGCACCATGGCGGCAGTAAAACTTTTATCTAAATCGACTCCCAAGCAGATTATATGATAATCTGAAGGATCGAAGAGGAATTTTCCAAATAGATATCTTAGAAGGATTACCTCGGGTAGGGTCCAAACAAGGATTGAAGAGGAATAAGAGTCAAACAGGGTAGAAAATCTACAGATATTGAGCACTGAAAAGTGCTGCTTAAATTTGTTGTAGCTTTAGGTAGTAGTAACACTTCCTTCAGCAAAAAGCCGATAATCCAACATTTGTTTCTTGGAGTACTTATCGGATCTTCTTTCAACCACTTCGTCAACCGAGCAAAAATTTCGCAAATGCGCCACACACAATCAAATTTGTAATTCGACTTTGTGGCATCGCCCGGCAACACTGGTCAGCCTGGCTTCCATCGGGTCGTCGTCGAAGAAAAAGAACTCAAGCTGTCAATCTTTGCTACGTAGCTATCAACGCGCGAACGTGGTTGTTTTTCTATTGAAAGTAAAAATAAAGATTTTAAGTATTTCGTAACTAATCGTTCTTTATTCCGTGTCCGATCATTACATTGGTGACCCGCGACGTCGCGAATCTAAAAGTTTCGGTCCGATTTCACGGTTTTCCGCCGAAATTCGATCTCAAAGCCGAAACTAGCCTCAAAATGCCGGACGATAATGGGAGCAACGCAGCAGCATCTGTCGCGGTAAAACTACCGGATTTTTGGAAAACTGATCCGGCTATGTGGTTTGCGCAATCGGAAGCGCAATTCCACCTTGCGAAAATCGTCAATGATGAAATCAAGTTTTACCACATCGTGGCCAAAGTGGATCAATCGGTTATATGTCACATAGCCGATTTGGTAGCTGCTCCTCCAGCGGAAAATAAATACAAAACAGTGAAAGATCGCCTAATTGCTCGCTTCGCCCTGTCTGCTGAAAGCCGCTTCGAACAGCTGCTGGGGGCCCACGATCTTGGCGATATGCGCCCAACGCATCTGTTAGCAAAGATGAGAGAGTTGTCGATGGGTTTGGGCGTGGATAACAATCTGCTCAAAATGATTTTCATTCAACGCCTCCCGGCAAACATTCGACCAATTCTCACATGCCACGATGGTACCATCGAGAAGTTGGCTGAAATGGCAGACAAGATCACCGACGCCTCCAACGGTCAGTCCTCCGCAGTTGCCATGGTGCACAACGAACCAACGCACAGCAACAGTGGTGAAAGGAAGCTAGCAGAGCAGATCGAACTTCTCACAGTGGAAATCCGACGCCTGAAGGCTCCCAACCCTGAGCGAGGCCGTTCGTTTTCGTGAAACCGAAGTGGTTCTCGTTCGTCATCACGATCCGGACTGTGCTGGTACCATAGGAAATATGGAAACGATGCTCAGCGGTGCCGAGAACCGTTTTCATGGAGCTCAAAAAACTAGCATCCTCCCCAACATCATCGGCGGTGGTGGCCGGAGTGTCGGAAAGTCGCCGAATGGTAATTTTTGACAGGACGAACAATACACGCTTTCTAATCGACACTGGATCGGACGTCACAATATTGCCTGCCTCCAGGAGAGATCGATTGAACGGTACCGTTATACAACAGCTCCACGCAGCCAACGGAAGTAGAATTCGGACATTTGGAACGAATTTTATTCCTGTCTACCTAGGATTGAGACGAAGATTCACCTGGAATTTCCTCGTTGCTGAAGTGACGATGCCAATAATCGGTGCTGATTTTTTGGCGCACTTCGGCATACTCGTCGATTTGAAAAACCAAAAACTGATAGATGGCCAGACAGGATTGAAGTCTTCTGGAGGTATGATGACTGCTGCTCTGCACAGTGTAACACTTGTTGGTGCCGATCATCCGTTCCACGATTTGTTAATGGAGTACCGGGAAATAACTCTGCCATCGACGCTTCGTTCTGTCACGCAGTGTGACGTAACCCATCACATAGTTACTCGTGGACCACCCGTGGCGTCTAAAGTTCGACGAATGCATCCGGACAAAGTTAAAGCTGCTAAGGAAGAGTTTCGCCTTATGTGTGATCTAGGAATATGCAGACCATCGAGTAGCAGTTGGGCAAGTCCTTTGCATTGTGTGCTGAAAAAGAACGGGAAATGGCGTTTCGTTGGTGACTACCGTCGCTTAAATCATATCACTACACCTGACCGTTATCCTTTACCGCACATCCACGATTTGCTGCATTCTCGACCATGCTAAAAATATAAAAATTTTGAAATTTATTTAAAATTTCAAAATTTTTATTTTGAAAAATTACTAATACGCATCACAAAACAAATATAAATTTAGTAAGAATTTAACCAACCGATTTCATTTGATTCTGTTTATGTGATTTGGTGAACTAACTGGAATTGAATTCAAATTGGGTTATCTTTAATAAACAATATGCAAAGTAAACTATGTTGGACTGTTCCTACACTATGCCAAACTCACCTATACCAACCGACTTAATTCTTTCTTCTGACTGACTATTTCCTATTCTAAATACCGATTACTTCAGAAATATCTGAAAAAATTTTTTTACTCCTGACATATCAGGAAAATTCTTAAACCGAACCGAATTACTCCAATTAACGAATTGGAAAACATCATTTCTTACCGAACTAACTAAATTACCGAAAAGCATACCAAAATCATGCACGCCCAATTCTGATCCTAACAGTCAACATAGTCACCCTATTCAGACGTTACAAAACGTTTCGCGGAATGTCAAAAAATCTACTGTGAAAACTCTACTGTGGGAGGTCAATACTCAAAAGAAATCAAAAATGAAAAGCTAAAACATGCGGAGGTAAGTATAATGGAATATTTTACTAATTTTGCAAGTATTTTCAGCAGAATACGCTATCTACGGTGAAAATTTTGGCTGAAACTATTGTGCTACGAATGTATCATATGAAAAATTAACGAGAACTAAGGCTAATGAGTGGAAAAGTGCTAAAACTAAGATTGTGAAGAACAAACAAAATACTGTGGGATGATCTCTACTGTTCTGTTGAGAACAAAAGGATACCGTTATATTGCGAGAAGAAGGGCTTCGATTTCACGGTCAAGGTCGTTTGGTCTGATCGAACAGACTAGACTGACACAGTCGAAGCAGAATTTGTCAACAACGTGAGGCAACCAAATGGACTTCTCGAACGTTGGACGATTTGCCGTAGCACCTCCAAGAGTATTTTTGGGCAGTTCAGCTGATTTGTATTTGTGCATCAGGCGGATGCACCGTCATAGCTGGACATTAAGGTCTCTTTCTGATTGAGCAAAGACTAACGACAAAGTGTTGCCTTTGCTTGTGAGGCCGATTTGTCCACAACGTGAGGGAACACAAGGACTTCTCGAACGTTGGACTTGTTGCCGTAGCACCTTCAAGAGTGTTTTATTTTAGGCAGTGGTGTCTTCTTTGTTTATGTGCATCAGGCAGATGCACCGTCATAGCTGTGGTTTCTTTTTTTTTTTCATTTTAGGCCTTTTTTAGAAAAGACCCATGAAACGTACCAGGGATTCTTTGTCCTTCCTCATTTTCGAGGACATAGGTGTTGGTTCCGAGAGCAGACAGTATTCGTGCGCGAGTATATTTGGTTCCAAATTTGCCAACAAAGTGCTTTGCTTTATCGGACAAATGCACGTCACGTTTATAGACGATGTCACCGGGTTTAAAGGTGTGTTTTTCGTTCGATCTTAAATTATACGGTCGTGAGTAACGATTATACGCATCCTGGATATTTTTACGAACTAGTTCGTATAACTTTCGAGCCTCTTCACTTCGGTGGGACGAAACATTGTCGCTTTCCGAGTCAAACTCTCGCAAATGATCATATTCGCTGCCTGTGCTTATCATATTTCGGCCAAAATTGATAAAGTACGGTGTAAAACCAGTACTTTCGTGCACACTGGTACGGATTGCGGCGGCGATTTTGGGCACAGATTCATCCCAGTTACGGTGATCTGCTTGCTGATTCAACGCGCAACGTATGGCCGTTACAATAACACGGTTTACTCTTTCGGCCGGATTCGGGCTTGGGTGATACACCGCAAGATTCCATTGCGTCACACCGTAGGTTTTTAAAAGTTTCCTGAACATTTCACACTGGAAGACATTTGCATTATCGGTTATACAGATCGATGGCGCTCCAAATAGAGTAAACACAAGGTTCTCCATGACGGCACAGACTCCTGGAGCCGTAGCTGTTCTCATGCATTGAGCCAGCACAAATTTTGAGAAAAAATCACAGATCACAAGGATCCATACATTTCCTTTCCGTGACTTCGGGTAAGGACCTAGGAAATCGATGGATATTAGTTCCCATGGACGACTACAAAGTTTTGGCTTGCCACAAGGCGGACGTACGTTCATATTTGGAACCTTGGACTCCTTACAGACTTGGCAACTACTGCAAAATCGTCTGACTTCACTTGCCATCCTGGGCCAATAGTAGCGTTCACGAACTTTTTCGAGAGTTTTGAGGAATCCCATGTGAGCCAAGTCATGAATTTCTTTAATAGTTGGTTTTCTCTCATAAAAAGGCAGGACTTCTTTCCATCGGAACGCTGGGTCTTCCGGTAGTGTCGAATTGGATACAAACTTGAAAATTCGACTATTGAGGATTTTGAAATCCGGATATTTATCGGGGTGCTGTTCAACTTGTTGCTTCAAACCTTCGATGTATGGATCAGGGAGTTGACAGTCTACGACGAAAATGCTGCGGCTGAGAGCATCGGCCGGTATGTTTTCCGAGCCTTTTTTGTATTGAAGTTCCACGTCGTATTTCGACAGTTTCAATGCCCATCGAGCGATGCGTGGGCTTTTTGATTCAATGCTCATCGTTTGCAGGAAGGTTAGGGACATCGCATCTGTTTGAACCACGAAGCGATTCCCTTCGACAAAATGTCGAAAGTTTTCTACGCTCAGTAGTACCGCCAGACATTCCCTTTCGGTGGCACTATATTTCCGTTGGGTACTCGATAACTTTTTCGAGTAGTACGCGATGCACTTACGTTCTCCGTTTTGAATCTGGACCAAGACAGAACCGATGGCCAAGTCCGAGCTGTCGGTCTCAATTATGAAGGGTAGTGAAAAATCGGGGTTAGCTAAAATCGGTGAGGATACTAGAGCTTCTTTTAATCGCTGAAGGGCATTATCGGCTTCCATCGTCCACTCGAACTTTCGACGCCCTTTCTTAAGCAAATCGCTGATGGGTACGGTGATTTCGGAATAGTTTCTTATGAACTTTTGATAAAAGCCAGCAAGACCGAGCAATCGCCGAACGTCTTTTACTGTTCGAGGTACAGGGTAGTCCAAAACGGGCTGGATTTTTGAGACATCCATCGACAACCCATCTTCGGACAATACATACCCGAGATATTTGATACTTTTCTGGCAGAACTTTGACTTTAGGATGTTTATAGTCAAGCCTGCTTGTGCTAAGCGTTCGCCAACGCATTGGATCAGTCGAAGATGTTCCTCGAACGATTCTGAAACGATTATTATATCGTCCAAGTAGACGTAAACGAATGGCTCTAGATCGTGACCAAGTACCTTCACCATTAAACGAGCCATAGTGGCCGGCGCGTTCGTTAAACCAAAGGGCATAACCTTGAAGCGGTATAGGCCCTTGTTAGTCCTAAAGGCCGTTTTGTTCTTGGCGTCGTCGTCGAGCTCGACCTGATAGTAAGACTCGGTCAAGTCTATAACCGAAAAGTAGCGTGAGCGTTTGATCCGCTGCAGGATTACGGTCATATTCGGGATTGGGAACTCGTCCCGTTTAGTTAGAGAATTCAACCGCCGAGAATCTAGGCAAATGCGCCATTTGCCGGTTGGTTTTTTTTATCGGCAATAGTGGATTGGCGAAGTCTGCGGATCCTTCACACTCCTCTATCACATCAAGGCTAAGTAGTCTGTTCATTTCGTCATCAATGACCGCTTCTACTGCTGGAGACCATCGATACGCTGGAATTCGTCTCGCTGTGGCCCCGGGTACAAGTTCTATGGAGTGTTTCAATAACGGTGTCCTACCCAATTTTCCTTCTTGAGTCATCGGAAGATGTTGGATAGCCTGAAACAGTTCCGTACTCTGCGTGGGAGATAATTGGTGTTCCGTTTCAATTTCACAAGCGTTTTCGATTCGTGTTGTGGGGATTTCCACTGTCGGCATCTCGAGACTTTCATCCTCTTCTCGAGGCTCGCTGACCGGCGTAGGATTAGCTGCTGGAACCACATGGAAACAGATGCGACCCTCGTCGTCACCAAAATAGTCCTCGATGTAATTCAGGCTTTGATCTTCGGAGAGGGTTGGACCTGATGGATCATTTGGACAAGCAACCAGTTGGAAATGGAAAGCTGATAAGAAGTCAATTCCTAGGATCAAGACCTTAGAGATCTCTGGTACTACTAGAGTAGGGATTACTCTCGTGTCACCTTGATATCTGTACGGGACATTCACATATCCTAAACAGGTATACGGTGTCCGATCTGCGGTAAATATTTTTAAATTACAGTTCTGGATTTTTAATCCAAGACGGCTGATAAGGCTAGGTGAGCTGATGATTGACACACTTGCTCCAGTGTCTGCTAGTCCTTCTACCTGAGTATCGAGAATTGAAACAGTCAGATGAGGACAACGTCGGAAGCTGGTCTGTATGACGAAGGTCTGGTTAACTCGAGAAAACGGGGAATTGGGAACCTTTGCGATAACGTTGGTAGGAGCTCGGTTCCCACGAATCTCCTCCTCTAATCGTTTTTTGATTTCGGATTGAAAGCTGGCCTAATGTCATGTTGTTGCGGACATCGAAAAGCGGTTGTCTCCGGGTGTCCACACATATGACAAAATATGGCCTTCTTTTGATCACATTCCCTCCAGAGATGTCCCGATTTACGGCAATTCCAGCAGAGTGGTTTCGCTCGCTCATCCTTACTGGTAGCTTGTGCAGATTGGTCGTTTGTGTTGCTGTTGGCTCCCTTACGTACAAGTTCCCTTCCAAAGCATCGAACCGGTAACACAGTTGTGCTAGGTGTTCCAACGAGGTGACTTCCTCCAAAGCTAACCGTCGTTTATATGACATTTTCATGTTCTCGACTACAATGTCAAACTTTTCCTCGTCGGAGATCCTTTTATTCATCCGCTGGGACAAATTTTCAATGTCTGTGAGGAACGCACTAAACAGTTCGTTAGGACGCTGTTTCCTGTTGCGAAGATCTTCCTTTATGAAACGATCCCGATTAGGATTGTCGTACCTCATGCAAAGATAGTACAACAGAGTGTCCCACGAATTGAATTTCGGTTCGTAAGCAGAATACCACACGTACGCATCTTCTTTGAAGAGGAGATGTGCATGGGTTCTCAACTCTTCTTTGGAGATTTGATACGACCGACTTAACAGATTGATCTGTCGCAGAAAGTCAACCACAGGAGTTGGATTAGCATCCCCCGCGAACTTAGGCCATTTCTCCATAATGTTACACGTTTGATGTGGCAATCTCCCGCGGCTCAGTTGGTTTGGTGCTCCATTATTCATCGCTTGAGGATTCGGGTTAAAGATTGAAGGGTCGTTCATCTGTACGAAGGGTTCATTACGTTGATCTCTAACGGTTGGTCCGCCGGGTCTTCTAGGAGCTCCAGAGTTATGAAAACTCGGCCAAGAGTTTCGTAGAACGTTCCTAAACGCTTGAGGGGTCTCGTTATTGATTTGCTCTGATCTATTCTCAGGTTGATTGGATCTTCCCGCGCACGGCAATTGCAGCGGGGCTGGCACTCTCGGTGGAACCGGAGCAGATTCTTCTCCCACGGATCCACGAGAAATACGAGACACTTCCGGATCATGTATGCCTACATCAGCTATTTTCTGAGCAAGATTGTTAACAACAGTATCCCGATCGATTTGCCGGTTAGGTGCATTGCTCAAAAGCTGACGAACGTAAGTTTGCACATAATTTTGTATTTCAGATACGTGTATATAGTTAAGTGACGTTTCACTCGCATTTACAGGTCCGACTGCTGGTGAAATTCCTCCTGGCTGGTGAACGGACCCATTTTGCAAAGTCTCGTTGGATTCACCGGAGGGTGTACGAACACCATCATTCCTATGCCCCAAAACATTTGACTGCATCGTCCGGAACGAACCTGGGTTTGAAACAGATGGCTGAAACACTCGATGCAGGGGAGCAGTAGAATGTGCCACTGGCGCTGAATCAACCGTCACATCTGGTCTAGATCCTCCCGTAGAAAAAGTCGGCTGGACAGTGGAATTCAACAACGGAGCCAGGTCATCACCTGTCAAACGGAAAGCTCCATTTGGAGGCTGATTCTGCGATGCATGAACACTAGCGTTGTTCTCCATTTGGTCTGGTCCGTCGAGGTCATCATCCCAAAACGGATTCGAACTGTTTTGTCGATTAGCCGTTGCCACAGGCTCAGAGAAACCCGTAGAATACAAGGTCTGCACCCGGGATGTCGCAAACGGATTCTGCACTCCTCTCTCCACCCGCGTGCTGGATGTAACACCCCGAAAAGGCAATTGAAATCCTTCGGCCGAAAGTTGGAATCTCGCAGCCTGGTGAAATTCAGCCTGCAAGTTATTTGGTGCCGGGAAGCGGCTATCCAGTGAGAACCTAGTTTCCCGTCTTGGACTCCCGGTTGAGGCCATCATTTGATCCGCCCAGACAAGACGCTGCGTACGCTCCGTATTGATACCTCCTACAGCCCCCTCCATGGAATCGGCAGATTCCGAACCAGGCGGCGTTACCAGAGTCCGCTGAGAATTCGCAGTACGGTTTTGATTTAGATGATCATCCACACTGTACTGTACATTAGCCATTTTCAAAACTCCACAATCAAGATAGTTCAAATTATAGAACGAGAAAAAAAAACTTAACTTTTAAGGGTATTGACTATTATTAAAACCGAATTCAAATTTTTTCCGAACTTAACTAAATTTTACCAAACTAACCAAATCCAAATTGACCTAGCTTATCAAAACTGCAGAAAGTTTGTAATCTTAAATTCAATTCCAATTAGTCTTCTAATCCTACTGTACGAAATCCAATTCACTTCTCAAAATCACAACTAATTCAAGCAAAAATTTCCGACTAAGTCACCAAATCGTTAAAGCCCTGTTTTGAGGGCCCCACGTTGGGCGCCAAATGTAACGTTCTTGTCTCGTCTAAAGAAAACGGCTTATGCGCCACCTCCAGATAGAAGGACCGTTATCTCTGACCAATAGCCCGGCATGAGACTGCCTTCTCAAGGCAGGTCAATACAGTTTTTAAGCGAACCGAACAACTACAAATTGACCCAACCGATGAAGCAAACTTAACCGTATTACTCGAGTGATTACTGTACCAAAAGAACCAATTTAGCTATTGCAATAATATCGAGCAGTAGTGGTGTGTGTCTTAGCGAAATAGACCAACCAATTCACCAATAATCATACAATTCGCCGCGAACAGGTGAAGTGTGTACTAAAATAGAAGTATTCAGTCTTGTTTCATAATTTCAACGCAAAAATGGAAGAAAAGAAAAAGATAAGATTATCAGGTTTGTTTCAAGCTTTACAACTAAGCAAAAGAATTTAAAATTTATTATTATTTACTTTATCAGGTTTAATATCCAAAGGAAAACCCTATCTTCTAGTGGGTGACGTCACGTCTAGCTCTGAATAATACTTTTCATTCGTAGGAAAATTCAAACAACTTTCTTCGGTCAATTTATTCTTCGGAAACAGTACACTTCTTCTGCGCGGTGACGGTCCCACGTGGTCCGGCGACGAAGACCGACGACGTCTGGAAAGTTCCAACTACGATAGCTACGGGCCCGTTTTTAGAAGCGGATTATTTATCTTGACCGTTATCGAATGGACTCGGCTAAACCCGTGGGTATCGACTGGTTCAGGGTGAATGCGTCCCTGTATTCAGCGGAGTGACGAGCACGTTGACGAGGCTCGATGTCGTACCACTTGGCAAAACGGGCAAAAATTGGGAACTCGAGCAGTGCTACACGCTCGAGTAAGCCTGAACGCAAACCGTAGTTTCGTTCACCGACAGAGGTCCAATTAAAATCTCGAGTATCAATTTATATTGCGCGCGCAAACGGTCGTTGGACGGGTATAAACCTTCCGTCACACAGGGTCTACTAAACAGTGACTTACCGCTTCTGTTCCGACTTGGGTTGCAGACAAACCTTGATTCGCCTGGGAAGGTGACCCGAGGTACTTCGGTCAAACCTTCACTCGACTGGGAGGTGACCAGATACGGCGGTCAAACCTTCGAATATCCGGTCTCGATGCACTCCGGACGAACTTTCGAGTTTCCGGATTCGCTGACTCCAGACAAACCGCCCTCGTTGGATGGGCAGGGCCTATTCAACGCAGGTAATTAATTTTCTTCCCTTAAGGTCGAACTAGTTATAGTTTTTTTTTTGGCTTACCTGAACCAATTTCAATAATTTTGCACAATTGGTTTTGAACTGTCGATTTAACAAAATAACTTAAAAAAAACCTGTAATTAAATAAATCGCACTGAATCACTGAATCAAATTTAAATTTACTGTCCCGGAAATTACTTCGATTTTAGACTTCGACTAAAAGAACTTTAAAATATTTTCCAATAAGAATCACTTTTGATCTTTTCGATTCGAGCACTCCACTAAGATTAAATGTTCGATCGCGTCACGAATTGGTTTAGACTTAAAAAGTAAGACGCAATTTACTACGCTCGATGTGCAGGAGCTTTACTACGCGGTTCCTGATTGGAATTTCCGAAAACGATGGAATTTTCCGTTGATCCTGAAGTTTGATTGGTGGTGAGAAATTGCGCAGTAATTAATTAATTTAGATCAGGTCAATCCGCCAACAGGTATGCTACTTTAAGAACTTGAACCTTAATCGTCTTTTTATCAAAGCTTTTCATGCCGAAATATTTCTCAGGTTACTAATTTCAAAGATAGGTGGCGCAGCGCGTAAAAATAGAGCTTTACGTAATAGTTTGGATACAGCGGCACACCCATAGAAGTAAGCAATTTTTGGTAAGTGGTATCCGTGCTTTAATTGAATTTAATTACTTTATTTAGAAATACAACTTTTAAAGATTAATTGATGTCAAAATGTCGTTACAAGTGCCACGACAGCATCTTCCAATATTTTTATGCAGCATCTGTGGACGTTAGAAGACAGGAACGGGAACCGCTTGGAATGAGATGAACTAATACCTCGAACGGTGAGTGAGAGTTGGTAAAAATTTCACGGAAAACTTCCAATTCTCAACGAAATTCGCATCGACCGTAGTTTTATTACTCCCAATGCGGGACAGGACGGTGAAGGTCCGACTTTTGTCATCCCTATCAAATGTATTTCCACTCCGAAGTCATCCCAAGGCTAGAACTATGCAGTGACTTACTCTTGTTCCAGCTGTACGACAACGTCAAGACCTCGACAGAGTTATCAGTTTCAGCTTGCTTTTGGACGTATCCAACGTGTGTATTGTGTTGGATTGATTCTGCTCTCGTAACATGGTCCACCTTCGTTGCCAACAGGGTGGCGAAAATCCAAGGCTTCATCGATGAATAGAAATGGAGGCACGTACCAGGAAAGAACAATCCAGCAGATCTTATATCCCGTGAAGTTTCTCCCGAAAACATTGTCCACAACGAGTTCTGGTGGGAAGGTTCAAATTCGTTAAAGACAGCAGAGGAAGGGAAGCGTCGCACAGCAGTCACTTGTACAGTATCACCTATTGCAACGTATTCGGACCTGATTCGACGAACAGCGTACTGGCTGCGTTTAATAGAACTTCTGTGAGCCCCAAGAAAGGTGCATTCAAAGAATTGATTTCTAACCACTACGGAGTTGAGAACTACTGAGTACACGGATAGAAATATCCTTATACCTTTTGGCAAATTTCCATTGCTGATTATTCATAAAATGTATAAGTCAACTAATAAGCAGACGCCTTGCAAAAAGTTAATAAAGATCATGTGCCAAATGAAATGTATAAGCGGTCACACATACCTATGTGGTTTGTCTTATGGAATGAATAAGGCTGATGCTTTGGCAAAAATGTATAAGTGAAACACATGAATTAAATAATTGATTTTCGTTTCGTGTATGCTATTGTTCGCAGCGTGCAGAAGTCTTTCCCAAATAATATATGGCGTTAACAAAAGGAGAATCAGTATAAAGAAAGTCACCGTTGAGGTGCTTTCACCTGTACGTTTGCAAGAAAGGGTTAATAAGAGTAGGGGGGACGGCTGAAGAACTCAAATGGACTGAAAAGCACCAAACATCCATCCACGCCACCAGTTAACCCATATCATAGTGAAAGATTTTCATGAGCGGTAATAACACGCCGGGCCCCAACTATTATTGGGAGCGATTCTGCCGCAATTCTGGCCTCTTTGTGGAAGGAATGGTGTCAGAGAGGTCAATGCCTTAGATGCTATCGTACCAAACCTACTACAGTGCAACAATTCATGGGATAGTTGGCATCATCTCGTGTAACAGTAACCCGACCGTTCACAAAAATAGGTGTAGACTGCTTTGGCCCGTCTACATCCGACCAGCTCCTAGGCGCGCAGCTGCGAAGGCTTACGTAGCAGTGTTTATCTTTCTCTGTGCCAAAGCAGTAAACTTGAAGCTCGTTTCCAACCATTCAACAGAGCGGTTCATGCAAGGCTTGTGACGATTTGTGTCGCGACGAGAAAAATGCTCCGATATCTTTTCGGATAATCACTCAAAATTTGTAGGCGCTAGGAACCAATCGACAGAACTTTTCCGATCATTGAAGGATCGAGAACACCACGAATGAATCACCACCGAGGTCGTCAAGGACGGTATTCAATGGAATACCATTCCCCTGAGTACTCCACACTTTGGAGGGCTCTGGGAGGCAGCTGTCCGGTCGGCCAACAATTTCAAAAAGCAACCTATTTTCAAAAAGTAGACTAAAGTGGTAATTTCTATACGATAGATGAGAAGGTGAGAGAATAGAGTTGATAGTTCCGTTAGAAAACGGCAGTGTGGAAATTGTGTATAGAGAGTAGAAAGCGAGCAAGGACAACTTTGAGGAAGGTACGAATCGGGTTGATCATCTTTCTTTACCAAACTCCCCAGTTGGAGAGGAATGGTGAGCTGAAGATCGTCGTCTATTATAATTGGTAAAGTGTTGTTAATAAATAAATAATAATGATAATTATAATTGAATCAAATTTAACCTCGCATGTTGGTACTGAGGCAGCTCTTGCTTCGACTATAGAAGTAGTCAGAGATTCAAGAGCATAATTAACATCATTTTTGGTTTGCAAAGGAATGTTTGGATTGAAGCTATATTCCATAGATGTTCGATGTTGCTCCCAATCAGCTCTATAGTAATTGAAAGTAGAGCTATTGGGATTATAAATTAGTTCTTGGGGTATTTCAAAAGTTACTGGAAGGTGATCATAACCCAAGTCAGCATGGGTATCCAATTGGCTAAAAATTTGACATGAATCAGTTAAGACCAAATCAATAGTGGAGGGATTTCTTGCTGAAGAAAAGCATGTTGGGCAGTTTGGATATTGAATAGTGTAATAACCCCCAGAACAATCATCAAACAGAATATTGCCATTGAAATTGTTTTGAGCATTATTCCATGAGCGGTATTTTGCATTAAAATCACCAATAATGAAGAATTCAGACCTATGACGGGATAGTTTCTGAAGGTAACCCTTGAGAAAAATTCTTTTGCTGGCTTACGCATTGAAATGGCAAATAGGCTGGTTAGTTGCCCAAATTTTTAACAGAATTTCCCAAAATTTCAAAAACTTTGGATTCAAATGAAGAAA